CAAAGTTTCGCAAACAATAAAGCTACATATTGCGGACTACTTGATACAAAATAATATCGACTTTTTAATGAGAATCGGAATCCTAATAATTCTGATAATAATCGCTTGGGCGTAGATCATAGGCGTATAGCTAACAATAAACCAAAGTAAATCAAAGAATTTTGCACTGATTAAGAATGCAAATTAACGTAAATCTTTCCATGGGAGCGTTTCAGCCCCTAAACTTCTTCATCTCCAACAGATAGGGAATTTCGTTTGCAATTGCAATTACAACACTGTTCTATTGCATATTGCCTATGCAAGACCCTTAAATAATATATTATAATAATTTCTAACTCTTTTTTTTTCTAATTTTTATCGATTTTCAAAAATATAAGTTAAACAAAAAGAAAAAAAAAAAAGAAAAACCATTCAATCAATTTTATTTATTCTCTTCGATTCTTATTTTATTTGTCAAATTGCTTAAGAAAAAAGAATTACTTCTCTGCCATGCGTTAATTTAAATTTCAAATCTCTGAGATAACTTTTTGTATTATTTGCAAACTATCAGATCTAAATAACAATGCGTATGGTTAAGTTTTCAATTCTACTATTATGTTAACAAAGTCCCTTTTTAATTGGCAATTTAAGGTATTGTCAAGCTTTTAAAAAACTGTAAAAATATCTAAAGTGTTAACAAAAATTTTAAATCCGATAACTGTTCTATGTTTTTTTTAAATTCAACTAGAAATTTTATAGATGAAAACCTCAAATTGAAAATTCTTTCGAATAACAAGCTAAAGAAATTTTTTTCAAATGTTTTTCCCTTAAATATTCTGCAAAATATTTTCTTATATTTCCTGTGCACTACAACTAACTGTAATATTAAATGAACTCTGGAACATTACAGAACACACCTTACCGTAAATCGACAATACACAACAATAAGCAACAACAATAACAACAACGACAACAGCAAACATCTAATGTTACGTATAAGTGAGGAAAATTCAATACATACCAACAGAACAAAAGACATAAGAATGAAAGCAAGGAATAAAAAAAAAAAAAAAAAAAAAAAAAAAAAAAAAAAAAAAAAAAAAAAAGAAAGAAATAAATAAATAAATTGAAAGAAAGGTGTGCTTGAATGAATGGGCTTTTGTAATGTTAGTCTATACTTAAAATGTTATTGATATTTCGTAGCAGGAGGGTAAGACAGACAAGATTTCCATAGTCAAGTTACACCGAATATATTGATAGTTATAAATGAAATGTGTGATGATTAGAAAAGGAAACGGAAATATATTTCAAAAAACAATCTGGGCAATTAAGGGTTTCATGATGACATATATAGATTTCATATATATATATATATATATATATATTCGAAACAATAATAGTTTTTCTGAGCAAGAGAGATTTTAACGAAAGTTGCATAAAAGCACCTGAAAGCCGGCCTGATGAAAATCCAATGCATTATAATCTACGTTTATCATTTTCCATTTTTCACTACAAGCACTGACAATCATTGCTTTAGCATCAAAGAAGATCTCCTATCGATATTTCCTATCTAATCGCTATGTTACTAATGGAATGACGATATCATTGAATCTATCATTGTTAAGCGTGCAAACAGTATTGGAATCTAGTAGGTGCGAAGAATAGTTATATGAAAATGTCGGCCTGATTAAAGTATACATGTAAAAGAATATTTTTATGTTGTGAAGGAACTCAAAAAAAAAGAAAAAAAAAAAAAAAAAAACAAACGAAAATTCTCTTCACAATAGACAATGGATGGGTCGGTCGGTCGCCTTTTCTTTAGTGCTACAAAATTTAAATTTTTGCTTACATCAGGGAATTTACGTAACAATTAATAAAGTTAGCTACATCGTAACATAGTTAGCTTTGCTTAATATAGTTGTTTTGCTTAGAAGAGACTAACATCAGAATGAATTGTTTTAGTTTTCTAGAGAAGAAAAAGATAAACCATTCTAGCCTTTTTAGCTTCGCTTCTAACGTTTTCCTTGGTTCACTTGCAAACAAGGTTTATCGACATAACTTTAGGAGCATAGATGCAATGGCATTAGTTGAAAAGCCTTATATTTTTTAATAACAAAAATGCTTAGATGGAGTAAAGGTTGAATAGCGTTCCCTAAAGAATAATTAAAAATGTCAAAAAGCTTTTTAATATTGTTCTGCGGCCGCCACGAAAACGATGTCTATTAGGAGACCTTCGAACCTTCTCGAGCTTTTGGAGACATGGAAATTTCTTCACGACAGAGAAACATTAGTTGAAATCTCTAATGATATTGAAAAGCTTTCCACGGGATAATCCGCTTTCCCAAGCATAAATTCATTCGAGAAAAGCAAAGGGAAGGATCATGTTTGTGTAAAAGAAAAGCATAGACATTAAGTCCCAGAACTTCAGGAACCCTAAGGCATAAGTGTAATCAGTCTAGCCGAATGACACGTTAATGACACGCTTCTCCGGTGAGGACGGTAGTATTCATCTTAAAGAAAGTAGAATTCGCAAGCGAATATCTTAACTCATCAGTCTAACGAGTCTATGCCGTGTTTTGCACTTTGATAGCGCACTTCCCTTTACAAGGCAAGCAAGGAAGAGTCAAAGTCTTTTGAAAGAAGAGAATTTAACAAGTGTACAGCTTAAATCAGGGACCAAAAACTTTAATTTGGAAGTGTATCTAGTTTAAGCAGTTTACCCTTATGGTGTCTCGTTCTTGCCCATACGAAAAAATTTTACTTCAAACTTAAAAAGAAAAGTAAAGTTGTAAAGACGGAAGAGACTTGTTCAATGAGAAAAACTCTGTAGGCATAAAACTCCCAAGCCTAAGGATGCCTAGGGTGAAGATCTAGCGAAACGTACTGATCCATTTGCCCATACATGGAATATCTAAACGATTAAACAGATTTCGTAGGCCTAAGAAATAAATATTTTCATATATAATTTTTTAATAGAATAATTTTGAAATTTCTTCCGTTGAGTTCTGGTTCGCACTTAGACAGACGAAAGATTTAGGAAAAAAAATTCCATAATGAATTATCGGTAAAATTGCACGCAAACCAAGCACAATTTTCGCTAAACCCTACATCGTGTACTGTCTTGCGAAATTAGTGTTGTGTTCAAAGAAAAATAAGTGAACCTTTGTTCAAGTGCTAAATCAATCCTATCTGGAAGAAGTGTGCATTTGTTGCTAGGAAATCATGTTCACAGACTTCCGACCCTCCTAGTCGTTCGAGTCTAAAGAAAGAAACTGTTAAAGGATGTCTTTCCCAAAGTATTGTTTGCGTTGACTTTAAACTTTGGAAAAATATTTTTGTAGTGTTATGCCATTAGATAAAAAGTAAGATCTTTTTGTCGTATTAAGATCTATATAACACCTGAACAGGCTGTTAACTATACCGCAACATGCTTCCAGATAAGTAAATTGTAGATAGAAATAGCGTTAATGTAGTTTTGTTCTCTCTTTATTCTTTCTCTAAACGAGTAAGCAGTTTTCAGTAGCTCTGACATTTGAAAATGTGCCCCGCCTTTGTAGAGTAAAACTAATTGTTGGCAAATATAAAAGTAAAGTAAACGAATAAGAAGAAAGTAAGAAAAATTCGATTATGAACGAATCTATCATACCCGATATATATTGGGTGGGCGTGACTGATGATTTCCATTTTTGTAGAAGACCAAATGGTTTTTAGTTCGAATTTAATAATAAAAAAAAAAAAAATACAGAGAGCATGAGTGTTCGCAGTTCATGTTGCGATGCAGGCGCGTGCTTTGGGTAATTTAGTCCATTTACAATACCAACCTTCGAGTACGGACTTCTACAACTTTGGCAAGTTCGAAAGCGATATTTACAGTTTTCCGAACTGAAGAATATTTATTACAAATATTTGGACAGATGGGTGGATGGACCGACGGACATGCGTAAATTAATTCAGAATTTAATGATACTCATCAAGATAATACATATATATACACTGCACATAACCTTGGGGGTTGCAAACATTTAACTAAACGCCCCATACTTCACCGGTGGGTATAAAATTTTTAGAAACACATGACGACAAATAAAAAAATATGTTCATATCACACGAAATTTCTTTTCGTGCAGATAATTGCAGAGTAGATTGTCATTTTCCTTAATATGAACAAATTTATACTAAACATGAAAATTGACAATTAGCGGGGAATAATAGATATTTAAATCCCTATTTTCCCTATAGGTAGATGCGAACACTCTATGTACAGTATTCGCAAAATTCGCTTACATTACAGTAATGAATGCAGTACAACTTAATATATTAGGTTAACATATGTTGTAACATTTTGAAAAGTTGTACAACTTGTTCAACTATAAAAAGAACAGAAGAACAATAACACGACAAATATGTAAAATAACGTAAACTTTCTAATATGGTTAGCGAGTGCTACGTGTTTGCATGTAATTGACTTCTGTGTACTTTGGGGTGTTGAGCGTTTGTATGTAGAAACAATATATGTGACAAAGCTGTCAGTTTGACGATTTTACATTAGAGTTGTTATTAAGCAATTACACTTTCGTTGCAATAGAGCAAAAGCGCAAGTAGTTTCATGTTATCTTTGTTATTGATCGTCATTTATATGACTCATGTACTGTGCCAATCGGCAAAAGTTTGTATTTGTCATGAAGCGAGGTGCAAAGAAAAATGCAATAAATAATTTTTCTTCATCTTAACCGAGTATAGCATTTCAAATTTGAAGGTATGAAGGAAGGAAGGACGGAAGAAAGAGTTTTAATTCCGTAGCGGGAACGCAACATCTAGGAAGTGTACGGACGCAGATAATAGGTTGTATGTAAGCAGTACCTGCGATGTACTTTAATATAACTAAAGGCTTATAATCGAAAAGAATATTTAATGTGGTCTGTTCAAGTGCAAAGGATAGATTTCTAACCGTGAGTTTTCTATAGTTGAAGGTAGACCTGATCTTAATATAACATTCTGAAAGAAAGAGACCAGAAGTTTCGAACACTCAAGTGAAAATTTTCAAAGCAACTACACAGACGAATTCAATTTTGTTTCGAACAAGCCACTTCGTTAAGTAAATATGCAGAGCAAGGTGCTATAGACCTCATAATCCAACTTGTCCACGCATTATTATCCCAAGTCGCCTCTTGAGCATTACTTTCTATCGCCTGCTTCAGTAATGTCTGATCTCGTAGTAGCAGAGAACCATAGAAACAACTTTGCTGTCGTGAAATGATCGATGCGGGCATTAGGCGTTTTATATAAAATTTCTCAAAAATATTGGTCAAAGCCGACAGCTTTATGAAAGCAGATCTTAATGCATGTCATAATGGCATTTGAACATCAACGTAAAGCTTCTCTGGTCACTTGTTGGAAATCGCGCCTGGTTGGTTTTATAAGCCTCTCTCAATTGTTCATCATTATTTATTATCAATGGCTGAAAGGAACTGTCGAGTCTACAACGTATTAATAGAGAGAGCATGAAGTTTTTAGAACCAGATTAAGGCGTAGCTGTCTTCTTCAACGGGAAAAGAAAGCAGTAAGGGAGATTATAGTTAAATATCCGCTGCATTTGGCCGAATTTTATCAAAATATCATTTGTTTGCAACATCGTTGGATGTGTACTGCAAACAACATTCTTCAAATCGAAATTCCTAGAGCCAAGGCAACTCTCCTTCTTTTGTGTGTTGCTTTTAAGAAAGAGATTAAAAAAAAAAAGAAAAAGAACAGCAACAGTATTTATAGACAAACAGCTCCTATTACGATTTTCCGCATATAGAGTCCTCATCCTCGCAATGAACAATGCAGGTGGATTTGGGTGGCAGAACTGCAAACATGATTTACACACCTGCTTAGTCTTAAGCCATAGCTGTTAAATATAGTTGCGGTATGATTAGCTTTAAAGGAAGTTTAGCCCTACAATGCTGTTGTGTTAGCAAAAGTCTCAACCAAGGCAGCTTAACCCAATTTCTTAAGATATTTAGTTTTCACTGCAACGTTTTTTCAATGCTAAAATTCCAACGATATACCAAAACCTCTTTGACACTGAATGCTTTCGTGAATGTGTAAACAATTTGCAATAATAAGCTTTTCACCGCAAGTTTAATTAGGTGTTTTAAAAACACTTTAACGTTCCTTAAAACGAATTACCGCGAATGTGCAGGTAAAAAAAACACTTTGAAAGATTTTTTTTTATTTTATGTCAGTTTATTTTATTATTTTCTTATTGTCAAACGTTAAAAAAAAGAATTAATAGATTTTCTTAAGATAACCTTCCAAGACCCAACGTAAGTATTCTAAGAAGAAAAGCGCTGCGTTTTGAATTTTCTGCTTTTTTTTCTTTCGTATAGAAATACTTCAAGCTATACATTAATTTCCATCTAGAGCAAAGATATTCTAAAGATTTTCTAGAGAGAACTAATTTATTTTCAAAAAATTTCAATACATAAGAGACCTTTTAATTACAAGTCTCTCTAAAAATTTCAATTCTATTTTATATGAAACATTATTTATGAAAGGATAGAAGAAGGGCGAAAAGCTAAGCTTGGATATGGAATTATCCTCACACATAACATAGTATCCGTTATGTACGATTGGCTAAATGTATTAAAATTTACATTTTAAAAACGAAAAAATATTTGGATTTAGGTAAACTAAAATCGTTGAAAGGATCTACCTATTAAAAATATTGGTATTAAAAATTGTACAAATATGGTTAAGATGCTGTTAAGCTGAAAAGAAAATTCCTGGTTTCAGAGCGCCCGACAAATTTAAACGGAAAAATCTGAATACTTTTCAAAAATAGTGATAGGCATTTTTGATGGATGGGTAGAAACTGTGGTCTGATGATCTCAAACGTTCCCCTCTACATTACGATATATAATGGCATTTAAATTTCGCCCTCAAAGTCTTGAAAGCTTCCATTCAACTCCCACCAAAGAAATTTTGGAACTTTGCTAGAAGTAAAATTATGACTTTTGCTAAGTTCACGTTCTACTCTAAAAATATCTTATTAGTATGTTCCACAAAGGAAGAGAGAAAAAACATTGCTTTCATATTTTTCCCAATTCTAGCTGATATCGCTTCAGCAACACGTACGCATACAGCAGTAGGATGGAACAGTCATCTTAATATGAAGAAAATAGGTAGAAGTTTTCCAAAGTGTGCAAATCTTTTCCACGGGCTGAAAACGAAGGAGAAAAGATACAACATTTTTCTATATTGTTGAAAAAAGAATATCTGAATGTTTCGACAGATCCCACTTAGTTGTGGAAGGTCTTCAAAGAAAGAAAATATGCTGCATAGTCGCTCAACATAAACAGGTCTTGGGAAAATGGTTCTCCGTCTTGCTAATATTTTTCATAAAGATTTCTTTTGCTTAACTTTATTGAATATTAGTATTCTGCTATCTCCTCTTCCGTCCAAAAAAAAATGTCAAGAATACAATTTTTTTTTTTTTTGATTATTAAAACGTCTTCACCCCTTTAATTTTTACATAAACGAAGTTTTAGGATAAATATAGTGAATTAATTAAATGACTTACCAAGACGGCTCCTTAGTAATCGCTAGTTCAGCACAGTTTAATTGTTCTATTGTTAGGTGCACTGTAAAACAACATAAAAAAAAAAAAGAGTTCAGTTTTCGCGTACATTCATAAGTTGAAGATATACATATAAACTACGCTTTATTAACTTATTTTATTACTCCTTTCAAACACGAATACTGACCCAATTCGGGTTTCAATCAAAGCAATTTGATTCATTGATAAAACTATGAAACAATGCACCGACATCTTATTTTAATAAAGCAATTTAAAAGAGAAAATATTACATAAACATATATACACGCACATTTTTATAAACTCATTAAGCTATTCACGCACACTTTTATAAGCTCATTAAGTTAGTCACTACTTTTTCTAGTCCGGATTTCGATCAAAAAAAAAAAACATTTTATAGGGATTATTAAGCAACGTGTAATAATATTTTCATGAATTTTATTAATAACTATTGTTTTTGAAAGGAATTTTTTTCTTTTTCACTACCCAGCGCAAATTTAAGTGCGCACATGAATAAGAACACGAACCGAAACGATAATAATTTCATCACATTAGTAACTTGTATTGTCTTAAGACAAATTTTTTCTTCTACGCAATATATGGTTATTGAAACAAAGTCGTGCACGCACGATAGAGATTGCAAATGAAACAAAGGATGCGTGTGTATGTGTGCGTGTGTATGTATGCATTCATATTAATATTATAGAGAAGAATAATTTTGGTGAGAGCATCAATGATAAGAGAAAACAATTAGCGAGTGCTGAGGTGACCAGACAATAACATAATAATAATCATAGTCATCTGCTTCACATAAGAAGCCAATAAGATTCACAAGAAAGTATAATTTTCAGAGAGCGAATTAAAATGTGTGCGCGTTCTTCTTAATTTTTTTGTATCATAGGTTTTGGGCCCCTTATTAAAACAAATCAGTAAAAAGAACGGAGCGGTAGTCACATAACGGAAAATTAATCTTTAGTCTAAATAGCGAAAACGAAAGCGAAAGTGAAAGTTAGATAGAACGGTTTATACGTGATTACCCACCAGCCTCTTTCTTAATAATTTAATATTTTCTCAATTAACGAAAGCAAAGAGATCTCAATACACATTTTACTCAATTATTTTAACTTTTTAAAGGCAAAAATTATGCAATATACTGTTGAATAAACATTTTCATGCTTTTTTTTACGGTTTTTAAATGGACTTTTTGTTAAACATTTGTCTTAGTTTTTATTGTTGTATAGTTCTGGACAGCGGCAAACGTAACTTCCTGCTTTTTATTATAAAAAGCAACAATATATACGGCTTTATGTCCGACTCTCCTCTGACTTTCTTAATCTTAATATGATTCTTGATTCTTTGAAGTAATGCAATGCTAATCGAAAACCATTTGGAAACATACCATAGATATACCACTATATGCCACTACACACCTGCCATATTGCACCCTTCGGGAAGCGTTTGTTTGAGTTACTAAAACTATGGCTTCTCCGGCCACCAATTTTCATCTTGGTGGATGATTAAGGCCAGGCGTTCTTTTCACGCAAAGTTCATATGCTGACCGAACAGTCCAACGCGCTGCAGTTTTGCAATAGTTTCAGTAAAGAGTTTGTTAGGATTTTTGCAAAAAAAAAAAAAAAAAAAAACCCTCAATTGTTACAAAACAAAAGAAAAGGCGTTTAAAACATACAAACATATATTCTTAATAAATTGAAAACAAATTTTCGGTTCACTACAGTTTAACTCATTAACATTTGTTGAAACGTTCTGTCAGATTACTGTCATTGCGTTTATGAAGCAATCGTAAGAGGTTTTCATGACTGTCAAGCGATGCGTGCTTTTGTCAATCAATCTCAATTGAAGGAATCACATATACGTTCTCAGACCTTCCAACTTATTTTAAGTAAAGTTAAGAGAGTTAAGCTTAACTGCTTATCAATTTATTTTAAAAATGCATCATCTCTCTGGCGTTCTCTCTCTCTCTTTCTCTATCTCTCTCTCTCTCATTCAAAAAAGTTGCAAACTTTTAAAGAAACTTCTTACTAAACTTTATGTTTTTTTAACTTTTAAAACTTATTTATGCGGTTTTAGATTAATTTTTATGAAACATATTCGTATTTCGTAAGGTAAAGAGGGTTGATTCTGGACGGCTTCCGTGAGCATATAACACTAATTGTACTTAAAAATTTTTCCAATTTACAATTAAAAGATATACGAGAATTTAAAAGAAGAAGACGAATATAAGATTACTTTTAATATATAGAGAAAGATAAATGTTATTTAGTTTAGAGAGATATACGTACATACGAACTGTTGAAGAAAGTCTGCAACTTCATTTTGAAATGTTTCATCAAGAGACGAACGGTGCAAGGAATTGAATGCATCCATCTATCTTATCTCTCATTTTCACCAATAACTTGAAGTTTGAATATTTCATAAATTTTATAAAAGAATCTAAAGTTTTTCCTCTTTTTGTATGTTGTTAACAATGAATTTCATTTATGCATAACATCCCGGATTTAGTTTGCTTCCAACTCCCAACAAAAAATTGATAGATTTTGAAAAAAAAAAAAAAAAAACGATAACACACACACCCGCACACATCCGCCGCATACATACTTAAAACTTTACTAAACTGAACGTAACTTCTAAACTTACACTAATATTTTTTTAACTGACTCATAAGCGATTCGTTTATTTTGGGTAGATTTTCACTGAACTGCATGAAAGAACTACAAGAAAAGAGAGAGAGAGAGAGAGAGAGAGAGAAAAAAAAATAAAAAGACGAGAACACTTATGCTTACAATTCGACAATGCATTTACACGTATATCGAACTGAATGCTTGTAAAACAACAGCAACAAAATTCTAACTTTTAACAAGTTCAAATCGTGTATCAAAAGAAAGGAGCTTCGATAAAAACAAGAAGAAGAAGAATTTTGAAAAAATAAACTGAAAATAAAAGAAGCGAAAAAAACTCGTGGCAAGACAATGAAATTTTCTCGCACAGGCATGTGTGAGGGTGCGAACATAGTTGTCAATGGATGTGTGTTGTACAATCTATAAAAACCTGGATAAAAGAATTCAAAGAAATTGGTTTCACTCGCACGCATAAACACAAGGTACATTACAACTCTTCCAGCTGACTACATGGAAAAGTTTTGCGCGGCGGGGGGAATAAGACGAGAAAAACAAAGCACTTTAGGAGAGCGTTAAGAGTTCTACAACTTAAACACATTTTAATTCTTTTTATGTTTACTTATATAATATATATATATAAATATAATATAATATGTACATTACAGAGGTTATATAAAGTCTTTTAGATCCTTTGTAACAACAACTAACGTTATAATCTCCGCAGTTGAACACAAACCAAACATAGCTTTTTACGAAAAAAAAGGAGGAAAAAAAGAAAAGAAACAGCAACCATATCCCAATCCATTCATTTCGATTGCATTTACTTGGATTTTACTTAAAGTTTCATATAATTTTTTAATCCAATTTATTCCTTTTGATAGTTTTTTTTTCCTCTTTGCATCATACATTATTTACGATAACAGCGAAGTGTTACGAGCAAAACTTAGTTCAATGATGAATGATTGTAAGTAAAGAAGAGAAAGATTTATTCTCTTTCATCTCTTTTACAGGATTGTTGTCGTACAACTTAAGTAATTTTCCAGTGATTGCTGTACGAGTTCAATCTAGCGTTAGATCGTAAGAAATAAAGAAAGCAAGAAAAAAAAAAAAAGAACATTCGAAAGAAGTTGTAAAATAATAAAGTTAAAGTGCTCAGCCATTTTTCTTACTCCCCCAGCTTATCATTCCCTTGCATATGTTCGCTTATAGTACACAGATATCCAAATTGCAGGAGAATTGCAACATTCAAGCCAGCAACGTGACACTATACCACTATATTTACATACATATATACACACATAAATATATATATATATACATATATAATATTTGATTTCTTTATTTTGAAAATTCGCATGACAGTAATGCTATTACTTTAAAAAAATCTCTTTATTATATAAATAATGGAAAATTTATTATGCAACAATAGCAGCAGTCACCTTTTCTTCTTTTCTTTGCTTTCGTTTTTTTGTTTGCGCACATTTCAACTAAACAAAGGTAAATAAAATTTAAATAACATTTCGTGTTTACCCTGAGCTATTTTCCTTATATATATATATATATATATATGCACATATATATGTATATAAGTATAAATCATATGCATTAAAAAAATGACGTTTGCGTAATTTTATTGACAATAATATGTAAAATAACTGAATTTCATGTTTCATTTTCATTACGGAAAATTTTCATTATATGGGGGAGGGTGCACGTGATATTTGGATTTTAAATATAAACTAACCCCTAAAGGCTTACACACATTTCGGTAGGAGGAGGGAGATGGGGAAAGAAATAAAAACAAATAATTATTATTTATATAGGTCGCGTAAGGTGTCCATGTCCGAGTGCACGCAACTTTTATTCTTTACATTTGTATAATACCTTGAGTTTGCTTATTATGCATTTAGGCCGTTGAATATTATTCTGTAGAATACTGTGCCAGTGAACACGAAAATGTAGCATGGAAATGCTAATTCCCGCAAAATAGTTTCAACAACTCTCTTAAACTCCTTCTTTTTAAGTAAATTTTCGTTTATCTTGTTTATTTCTGCTTACATACCCCAGGTGATGGGTATCACAACCACATTTCAATAAATTTCATTTGGGATAGAAGATTCAGGCACTTAAAGGACTCAGTCAGTAGATGGTTTGAAAAAAATTAGCCAAAGAAGGCCTGACAATGCAGCGCCCAATTGATACCAGCCCATCGACGAACACCCCTTCAGCTCGTTCGAGAACATATGAAATGGATTATGGATCAATTAAAGATATTATTGTTCTCCGACAAGTGCAGGATATGTCTTCCCGATAACTATGGAGGGGGAAGAGTCTTGCGAAGACTCGATGAGCGTTTCGCACAACGGTGCATGTCTGAACATATCTCATATGGCGGTGGTTCTTGCATGTC